ACAGCTCGCTCGTTTCGCTCTTCTCCTCCTCCATGGCTCTCTCGTACTCCGTCAGCACCATGGTGAAGTAGCTCGCGAGCTGTCTGAACAGCCACTTCCTGCCGTCTCTATCCGCGGGCACCGTCCCGTCAACCTTCATGTCCTTTTCCTCCACCAACTCCAGGGTCGTCGGGATGGGGCCCTTGCTCATCGCCGTCGTCAACTTTCTGTACCGCCTTAATTTGGCGGCGTGCGATTCCCCGAAAAGCATCGCCGGGTGCCCTATTTCTCGCAATTTCTCCCGCAGCTCTTCCTCTGGGACATCATCTTCCACGGCCTGGCCTTGGTCTTCCTCCTTCTTCTTCACGAGTTCGGGAAGACCTAACCGCTTTCTCCTCGCCCTTTCTTCCTCCTCTTCCCTTTCTTCTCTAAGTTTCCTCGACTCTTCGGCTAGTTTGCGTCTCTTCTCTTCCCGGGCTGCGTTCTCCGCCGCCAGCTCTTCCTCTCGTTTGCGCTTGGCTGCTGCTTTCGCTTCGCGCTCCTCCTCGAGTGCCTTTTGCTCCGCTAGGTATGCTTTTTTCCGCTCTTCTTCGATTTCTGATCGTTTGAGGTATTTTTTGGACGCGTCGTTTGTTGTTTTAGCCTTGGAGAGCTCCTTGTTCATCAGGGACGCGAAGTCCATTTTTGGTGTTGCGCCGCCACAAAGCCCGAATTACAGAGTTTGAAGAATTATATGGAGTCACGGAGAGCTTCAGTTGACGTATTGATTGATTCTGCGGTTAATAGAGCTCTATGAATGCGATTGGCGATTTTGTTGTGGTGATGAAATTGGTAGAAGTCGTCTTGTATGTCGCGAGTTCCCCATATCGATTGCGGGTATTTGCCGGATAATCTCCTCTTCTTTTCAGTAGCACAATTGCATCGTTTCCAACACCAGATGCGCAGCTGCCAATAATCATGACGTGATTATCAGTTTTGGAGAACCTGTTTCTTTTTCTTTATCGGATGGTGATCGTCGTATCTAGTCATGTCCGTGGCTTCAGATGATGGGGATCGTGACCCCCCTGCGCCATTTCTTGTACAGCTGTTTTATCGAAATGGAGGCTTTTACAGGTAAGAAGCACATCGCAAACTGCTTATGCTTCATTTAATGGAATAGATGTTAATAATTTATATCTTTTTGACTAGGGCGGATGAATTTGCAGCCCGTTCACTTCCACCACACATCTCAGTCTACACTTGGCCAAGCTGCACTTTAAACGAGCTCGCTCTGGAGCTGGCCGCTGCCAAACCATCAGCCCTCCCATATCCAGCCATCGGAACAAGACTGTCTTTCCAATTAGTATGTCCTGACTTACGCGGCATCAGCTCAGTCAACAATGCCCATCCACGCTACGCTGTGAAAGATCTCGGTAGCATAGTCATTGGACAAAACACTCCTGGAACCACCGACCCCGACTTGGCTGAAGTCGGGGGAGGTGCTTCCCGCGGTGCGTCAAACCCAGATAAGACGCTTGGGGAAGCCCGATTCGTGGTAGGGGACTACATTTCGTGCGCCATTTTACCCCCAATGGGTGATGGATCTGTGGCACCGGCATCCGCCGCTAGGAGGGACATAACTGCAGGGCATAGAGAAAGCAGGGGAGGCAGAAGCAGTGGTGGAGGACCAGGTTTTCACAGTCGAGAGAATGGTTTCGGTCGGGGCAGCCGTGAGGGCAGGGGAGGGAGAAGGGGAGGCGGAGGGCCAGGAGCAAGCGTGCCAATGGGAGAATGGAGGAGAGGCGAGAGATTGCCGGAAATGCCTCCTTCGCGACCACGAGGCGGCGGTGGTGGACGATGGTGAATGGTTAATTTGGATCATGGCCAGTCCTTCCGTCTGGTTTAACTAGCGACGTTGTAATTATTCAATATACCCAATACATGAAGGCTGGTCAACAGTCAATTGTCACTGCAAACGAGCCCTTCGAACTGTCACGTCAAACGGAAGTGTTTCTATTCCGGCCCCAAACCCAACTATGTACAGTCTTTTAATACATCCATCACGAGCCGGCCCTTTATCTCTCGTAGATGGTATCGCCCCGTCTCTTGGCACGGAAATTGAACAGACCCTACAACCGAATCAGCTTTTTCTTCTCACACCCTACAGTGGGATCATCTCGACTAGATCATCTACTCACGTCGGTCTTGTAGGCGACATAGCCGAATATGGCAGGCACAACAACCACATACATAAAAGTGATTCTAGCGGTTCTAGGAGTCCATCGGAAAAAGTGGTGTCGAGCCTTTTGCATAGCTATTTCGCCTTCGTTAGAACCCATAACCACTAACGTTCGACGTCGGGAGTCTCACGCACCCTGGTGCTTGAGGTAAGCCGGGTCCGGCTTTACGTCTATCACGCGCAGCGAGTTAGCTTCTGGATTGTAGGAATCAATCTAAATTATCTGGGACCAACTTAGGTGCGCCATCTTGTCCGGTCGGCAGAGTAGCGTCTCTCTCGGTGAATTGATGGAATGAATGTCGTCGCGATGGGATTGCTTGAAGTTGGTTGCTGGGATTCGAGTGGTCAAAGACGATGCGGATTAGGTAATAATTAGGCTTGTTTTGATTGGTTGATGGTTATAGTATGATTGTTAGTACCCTGGAGGTGAGAGATGAGCTCGGAAAATGTACACTGCGCTTCAAGCCCTTAGTCGCAGTGGGAGCTGAAGTTAATTCTATTTCTCATTAAAAGTTCTTGGTGCTTTGGTATTAGGTGATAGTCTGAATTCCGTATCTTCAGTTAGCATCGATTATGACCGTGAAGGCAACAATTCTAAGCACTCCACAAACCTTGCGGCAATCTCAAGTGGCAATGCGCTACAGTTAAAACTGGCACTATTTTTGAATTAGCTACAGACAGAAAAAAAAAAAAAGACATCAGACATAAATTATGATAGTAAACCCAAGGTTCGACGAGCGCAGGCCTCGTCAATATATGTTGTGCGTCCATGTTTAACTGTACGGTGTGAGTCACCAGCATAAACTATATTTCATTATAACCTTTACCGGCACGGTTATGATAAATTACTAATTCAATTAATATGTTTCACGTATTATAATGCGTTCATAGTGTCTTACGTGGTTAATTACGGTTCCCTGGCCTAAGTACGGCCAAAATACAGTGTTACTAGATTAAACCCAAGGTTCCTTTTAAAATAGCGTCACGAAAGCCTTGACGTGATTTTTGAAACATGCAACAATACACTCGAAAATCACGTGATCCAATTTATGGGTCTGGAGCTAAGAGCTTCACAGCAGAAAATTGTCGTGACAGAGGCGACATCTTCCAGTTTTGGAGAACGCCGCTTTGGTCGCCAACGTGCCATCTTGCGTATTCGGCATCCTATTTCTTCAACACTAAATTGCGGGCTGTATTGTTTCTCATTGTTTCTGTTCGAAGATAGAGGTGAAAACAGAATTAGCGTGTCGAGACACGCGCCTCAGCGTGCAGCCTCCTCGACCGGCACACCATCGCATATCCACGAAGCGACATCAGCTCACCACGTCGCGAAGTCATCATGTCGGGCATCCCTCCGCCGCCTCCTCCAGGCTGGGGAGCAGCCCCCCCCCCCTCCC